CTGCCTGAAAAGAGCTTTCCCAGTCATCCTTGTGGACAGCTCCTCACGGTCGCATTTGCAACAAGGCCCATGCTGACCACCCAGCACAGCAGCCACCTCCCTGTCCCCACAGTGCACACTCTGGATCCCCTGCCCCACAGCACTTGCCACCTTCTAACTCAAGCATTTTCTGCTCTTACTCTGCTTATACTGTATCTATCATCTGCCTACAGAGGTGTCCAATGTTTTCACTTCCCTGGACAACATGTGAAGAATTGTCTTGAGCCACACATAAAATACACTAATGACAGCTGATGAGCAGAAAAAAATCGAAAAAAGAAAAAAAAATAAGTACATAATTTTCATGATATCTGCCACCACAGATAAGCAAAAACGTCCTCACATTCGAAGCTGTCCTGGCCCACATGCAGCCTGTGAGCCACAGGTTGGACAAGCTTACATCTAGAACATATACACCAGATGGCTGGAAATTTTCCTGGTTACTTTAATGATGTTTTCTAAATGCGAAAATAGTCATATACCTAGCAGACAACAAATATCAGTTGAATGATCACTGAAGGGTACTTCCCTATTCTAAAGGTAATATCTTTATTAATGTAGCCTCAGGCCAAATGCTGTTTTGTGGCAGCTACAGAACAACATCATCTCACACTGACATCAGTGCTGCCAGAGCTTTTCTCACCAGGGCTGCGTGTGTGCCCTCCCTCGCTCCCTCCCTCCTCCCACACCAACCCTCCTGCACACTGCAGCACACAACCATATTTTTCTCTTCAGGAAAGAAAACGCTAGGCTTATGGCTCCAATTTTCCAACCACACATGAATCTAAGTTGGAGGCAGCACTAGGATTACTACAACTCAGGGCAGGAGGAAGAGTAGGCGAGAGAGCAGTTACCTACAATGAGAAACTACAGGAGCCCTCCTCTCTGCAAGTATCTGCTTTAAGAAGTTTGGGGAAGGCCGGGCGCGGTGGCTCACGCCTATAATCCCAGCACTTTGGGAGGCCTAGGTGTGTGGATCACAAGGTCAAGAGATCGAGACCATCCTGGTCAACATGGTGTAACCCCGTCTCTACTAAAAATTCAAAAGTTAGCTGGGCATGGTGGCACATGCCTGTTGTCCCAGCTACTCGGGAGGCTGAGGCAGGAGAATTCCTTGAACCCAGAAGACAGAGGTTGCGGTGAGCCGAGATCGCGCCATTGCACTCCAGCCTGGGTAACAAGAGC